ACACATGCGAACAGGTTATTGGCCAGAATAGGCGTGGCCACTGCAAGCACAGAAAGATTTGAGATACTTAAGCTCCTAAACAAAGGAGTTCATTCTCTTCTCTTGTGCTCTGGGCTCCTAGCTCTCTTGTAGGGGGCGCGCTCCCCCGCATTTGCCCACATGGCTCATGACCGTGTGGACCCCACACAATGGACTGATGGACTGTAACTAGCCTAATGTTATACTGGACCACGCTCCACCATGGAATGGAAACTTCGGATTCTGGCTTTGTTTTTAGCTCTGCTGAATCCTCAGCTGCACATTTTTCAGCACTGGGTTAAGGGAAATGGGACTTTACAAACCCAGGGATGTAACTCCACACAAATAAAGGTCACTCATCCTTCCATGTGAGTCTCAGAAAATTCTTTTTCTTGAGATATCCTAAGGACCCGACCCCAGCACTCAGTGGGGAAAGAAATACCCCACTTCCAGTGGTGGACACCCCACTCCTATCAATAACAATATAATAAGGGGAAGTATTGTTTCATGAAACTCATTTTAGTTGAGTATACAAGTATGTATGCACTGGATTGATTTTGTTAGTGTTCCTTACTGTGGGCCATGGTAGGAATTTGAAAGCCATTGTTTAGTGTTTTCTCATTGCTAGTTCACTTTTCACACTTCTGTTTTTTAACTATTTTATAATTGAGCTTGTGCTACTTTTGTAATTAAAATGACAGGGAGAGCCCTGGCCTGTGGGGCTCAGTTGGTTAGGAATCATCCCCTACATGGAAAGGTTGTGGGTTCAATTCCCAGTCAGGGCACGTGCCCAGGTTGTGGGCTCAATCCCTGTAGGGGGCATGCAGGAGGCAGATGATCGATGAACAGTTCTCACATCAATGTTTCTTAATATTTAAAAAAAATGACAGGAAAGAAGAGGAAGGGATCTTAATAGTTTAATATAATCCCAAGGTAGACAATCCCTATTTACAGTGACTGCTGACGTCACCACACTGGGGAGCCAGCATCCTCCAAGCGGGCATCCCCCCACCCCAAGCAGCAATGGCCTCAGTTTACATTGATATGTAATGGTAACTGTGACAGTGGAAGCCTTTTAAGAAAATCACTTATAAATTCACCACCCCATGCAACCAATTTCACGCTTTCATGTTCCATTTTGGCCTTTAACCACATGCTTACAAATTGTTTCATAATTGCAAACCATGATGTACAGATTTCATACTTAATGCATATTCTTTTTCTTCTCTTGGTTTATTTTCATTTTCATTTTAAATATATCTTTATTGATTTCAGAGGTAAGAAGGGAGAGAGAGAGAGAGAGAAGCATCAATGATGAGAGTCATTGATCGGCTGCCTCCTGCACGCCCCTGACTGGGGATCGAGCCCGCAACCCGGGCATGTGCCCTGACCAGGAATCGAACCCCGATCTCCTGGATCCTAGGTCGCTGCTCACCGCTGAGCCACGCCGCCAGGCTTCGTTTATTTTCTTGAGGCAAATTCTTAGTCATGCATTTATTGGATTAGGGGTATGACCATTTTGGCAGGGAGGGGGTTTGAATGTCTGTAACTGTGCTGCTTATTGAAGGGTGGTAACAGCTTAGTCTGCTGCCATTGAGGTATGAGCCTACCAGCCTCACCATGGGCTTGCCCGCCACAGCGGTGGTTATCTTGTTAAATTAAAAGGTGCAAAATAACATCTCTGGATTGTCTTTCAGTTTTATTTCCGGTGACGTTGCACATTTTCCCATCTGTTAATTATATTGCCCTTTCATTTCAGTATAATATCCATTTTCTTTGTCAGTTTTCTAAAACTGGAGTATTGTGTTTTAAGTCTGAATTTTTTATGTTGTAGATATTTACCCTTTGTTATAATTGCTGCAGCTGCAGATAACTCACCATTTGTGTTTCCTTTTTTATTTTAATGTTACTTTTAATTGCGTGGGAACTTTAAAACTTTTTATACTTTATATTGCTATTTTTGTACTTTGGATTTTTTCCCCTTTTGACTCAAAAGTGAGGACTAACAGAAGGCTGAAATACCTTGCTCTCCTGTGCGTATGTGAGTGTGTGTGTGTGAGTGTGTGTGTGTCTGTGTGTGTGTGTGTGTGTGTGTGCACGCACCTGGGCACGTGCATGGAGCTGTCAGTATTTAGGCTGATTCTGGCTTATTGTTTAGTTCCAGCTATCTCCACACTTCAATGATTCTAACTCTCCCCCTTGTTTTGAGAAGTTGATTTTTGACAAACACTTGCCTCCTATTTGCCATGTAAATGCTTTATTCTGTTTTAATAAGTTTTGAAGTTGAGACAGTTTGATGACTTGGAATTACGTTTTTCTGATCATTGTTTTCTGTGCCCCC